AATCTAGGTTGTTCAAATAAAATCCATGAACACCAAAGCCAAAAATAAAATAGACACATGAATGCATCTTATAAAATAGTAAAACACATTTTTTTCTGCAAAATAAGTACTAATTAATACAATACTCTTCAAATTTGCAAAAAACTTAAGTGAATTCAGTTTCAATAGATAAATCCTAATTTTCTTGTAATGAGGTTTTGATTTGTAGCATCTTCACTTAAATCGGAATATTTCTTCCACCTCCTGCTCCTGTTCAGACATTAATGAGTAAAGTCTGTTGAATAAGGAGTTTAGATTTACCTGTGACAATCAAAAAGACTCCAGGCAGATCAGACTGGGTCCATCTTTTATGATCTCTCTTGAATCTGAATGTGTATCCTCCTGAGTCATTCTTCTTCAGGTTGTTGATGGTCAGGATGTGTTGGTTCTTCATGTTGTCCTGATACTTCACACGACCTGCAGCCCGAAGCAGCTCTTCAACTTCCACTTTATCTTTTCTCCATTTTTTACTCCAACATTTAAACTCTGGCTTCATGTTATCAGGATGTGAGTATTCACATGTGATGTTGACTGAAGATCCTTCCAGAGCACAGATTCTTCTGCTGACATAATTCACTCTCCAGCAGTTTTTATCCTGAACACCTGAAATATAGATGGAAGATTTAAAGTTGTTTGATTGGTCTGTATTTCAGCACTTGATAGTTTGACACTTACAAACTTCCTTAGATAGAAGATATTTGTGGTCTTTAACTGCACAAGACAATGTGCCAGTTGAAGAGTTATGAGTGGAATAATCTTGATTCTCATAATAGTTTCTTTTGTTGTGGTAACACATGTTGGCAGTTTGATGGTCAGTCAGGTTACAGCTGGTGTTACAGGTCAGTGTGACAAACCCTGATGTGGAAGAAGCTCTTTGAACATGAACCTCTGTTGAAAAGAATAAAAACACTTCTTGTTACTATGCATAGTTATATTTAAAGAGCTCATATAATTCATATAAAAGATAGTTATAATAAATCTGAATTTAGAGGTTTGGTGGAGATGTGTTTAAACAGTGTGGATTATTTTCTTTTTTTACCTCTGGGATATGTGATGGAGCATGACTCATTCACTAATGTCTGATTGTGGGAAGACATGTTTCCATAAGCATAAGTCACACTGAAGCATGTTTGTGTGATGGACTCTGAACACAGAGAAATAATATTTAATATTTGTACTGAGAGAATTATTACAGGGCTTTGCATAATGTTTTGTAACAGAATGAGCATCATGACTCACCCACAGAGACTTCAGGGGCTCTGAGATGCTCGTAGCCTTTGACAGCACAGGAGTATGTGACTGCTTCCTCACTGCTGAGCAGCTCTTGGTACCAGGGAGACCAGTCCTCATAGAGAAACTCTCTGTTCTTGTA